CCGCTCTAAACTCTGGCGCTGCCTTTTTCTGAAAGGTGTGCCCGAGAAGTTAATTTCAGTGTTACGTTCGCTTTATAATAATAGCCGAAGTGGAGTCCGGGCTTACGGCACTTTTTCGTCCGAGTTTACCACGGAAAGTGGTGTTCGTCACGGTTGCCCTCCCTCACCATTTCTATTTAACTTTGTTATAGATCTGACTATGGAAACAGCCCTATCCCCGTGCGAGGATAGTGGCATCGATTTACTCCCAAGTGGCAGACTGTTTGATCTAGAGTACGCAAACGACATTGTGCTACTAAGTGAAAATCTAGGCAAGTTGCAAGCATCTCTGGATAACTTGAATGCCAGTATAGCCATATTCGGTATGCGTTTTGCACCTTGAAAGTGTAAAATGTTGCTACACGACTGGGTTGGTCCAGCACCCAGCCTCACTCTAACTGGGGGAAGGGTTGTCAAGCTAAGACCTGGCACGAGGGTATGAAAACCCTAACCAGGAGACTGAGTTACATAGGTCCTGTTAGGCTTCCTGACTGAGGACCTTGGGATGATCGTAACCGATGGTTAGAGACACTGAGTGATATGGCTGGGTGTCGCAACCAGTGGCGTTTGTGCATCTCCTCAAACTCTTTGCAACCTTAAACCAATGAACTTTTTCATTTTCTTTTCGACTCCACTTTCAAGTTTCCTTCCTTCTCCTATTCTTCATCCAAATGAGCAGCCAAAAGACGGTAACTCAAACCGGCGAAAAAAGTGCGTGGTTAATGGTTGTTCAAACTGAACTGAACTGATTCAAAACTGTGGCTTTTGACTAACCAAAGTTTTGACTCGCAGGACAGCGGAGCGGTGCTGGTGGCCGATGTTCAGTTCATCAAATTACACTCTTTTTGACTAAGTTGAAAGTCCAAGGTACCCAATACAACTCGAGCTCCATGAAGCCGGTTACCACTGTCACAACCAGGAAAAGGTGCGTGTGGAGTTCTTTCTCTCCCGGAAGACTAATTACGTTTAATGTTTTTACGTTTATTGTCCTGAACGGAATGGTTTATTGACTGTAATTTTCGCCTTTTCTTCTTCTCAGATGGTTGGATTTGGTCTCACCGACGCAGACCTTTCGACATACACTGGTGAATTTTGCTCCGCCCTGGGATTGGATCCCTGCACGTGGGCGTTAAGTTACCGTGGTGTGTTGATGCATTGGGGTGCACAGATTTCTAACATTGCATTACGATTTCAACGCGGTTCAATTATTGGTTGTCTGCTGGATTTATGGCACAATACTTTCCAGTTTTTTATTGATGGTGAAACCTCGGAGGACTTCCAGTTTAAGTACGTCTATCATAAACATTCTTTCGTTCTGCCTTTGCGGGTATGTTTGGCGTTGCTCACGGTTATTTCCAAAGCGAACCTTTCGTGTTGTATTCATGGTTGCCATCTGTTCTTTCTTAATTGTTTCCTCGCACTGATAAATGTGGGTCGACAAGTTGAACAACCGATGCAATACAACAACACAGAAATAAAATGTTATCCGTTCGCGGTTAACTTCATTTCATGTAAGAGTTGCTGGTGGTTGAGTATTATAAACCGCAATCCATATACCGTGAGGTTCGAATCCGATCACGTCTTGTTTCATTATGTCTGTTAACCACAACTGATTTAATTTTGCTTTGGTACTGTTTTATCTAGTAGGAGAACGAAACTAAACGAGAGGTGCCCACAGAGACAGTAAACGTAAACGATAAACAGTTCTCTCTAGCGGTGTCTGTTAGCGACTTAAATGAAGATTAATATATTTTGACATCTTGTTTATAAATGCAGTGATTAGTCGAGTATAAGCTTATAAGAATACGGATAATGCTGTTCAAGCTTCAGTAATATTGGTATAAGTCCACTTAGGAGTTGTTTTCGTTTTCGATGCTCTGCTATACCTTGCTGTCTGCTAGAACTTTTCAAGCGACTATACCGAACACAGATGGCCCGCATATAGCACATTTCAAAGTGATTGATGTAAGTCTATCGAGGAGTAGTGGAGCAACTGGAGATGGATAATGTCGATAATGCCATTCGTGCATCTTCGCAATCTCTTTGCAACCTTAAACCAATGAACTTTTCCATTTTATTTTCGACTTCACTTTCAAGTTTCCTTCCTTCTCCTATTATTCATCCAAATGAGCAGCCAAAAGACAGTAACCCAAACCGGCGCAAAAAAGTGCGCGGTTAATGGTTGTTCAAACTGAACTGACTTCACTATTCGCTATACTCCTATGAAAGCCTCAGGATGGTTAACTGTGGGTGTCTGGGGTCAGACTTTTCTTTCAGCGTAGGAGTTGCTCTCATACACCCAAGCGTCTCAAACAGCATCTGCTGAGAAATCCGTCAACATGGACTTTACGTGGCGGCGTTTCCAAACCAAACTGGTTCTAAACTAACTGAGACGAGGCATAAGAACTATAAAAACAAACACACACACACACACACATTTCTCGTTATAGGTAGTGGCCCTCAACTTGATGGGACATCGAGGTGTACTAGGTACCTTTCTTTTTTCTTTCATTTCATTTCCTTTTACTGCAGATACAAAGATACAAGGGGAAGTGGCCAATCAAGGGCTGCCATTAAACATACTACGGTGGAAAGTCAGGCGTTGGTGGTGGGATTCGAGCACACATCCCCGGTGTGATAAGTTGGTGGCGTTACCACCAGGCCACCACCGCCCGTGTCACCCCGACCAAAGGGGTGTATAATCCGATAAATTGGACACTGGTCACATTTGGATTGCAGCTTCCGTACACCGACCTGCTGCCTTGCGGGTGAGGTTGAGGTTAGACGAGAGCTCCAACTGTGAACCCCAAAGATCATTTACTCTTATTGGCTTGGACAACTGACAGCGTTCCACTCATTACTAAATCATGGAGCTTCTTCCTTGTTGTAAAGACTATTGCATCCCGATTCGGCACACAGTTTGAACTCAGATGCGTGTGAAATATTTAATAATAGCAATATAATTCCACGGAATATCCGTGGATTCATTCACGAGGAGGCCCTATCCTTGTGTAAGAGCAAGTAGCTGAAAAGAGAAAAAGCAGTGTGAAAACGATACCCTCAGTGAATCCTTACAGTCTGTTGAAAACCAAAAGACAACCTTCAATTACACTTCATGCAGTCGCCGGTTGTTCTTCAGCAATTATCTTCCGTGGAAAACGATCCTAGTCATTTACCTATATAGAGTGCAACTTTTCCGATCGCCTAAGTTTAACATTCCATCATAAATTAACATCAATGAATTTCCAACTGGAATTGGAGTTAATTAACCATGAAAAGTAAAAGGCATTCTACATGCAGTGATAATCTAAGTGGCAAATACTATGACCACAAAGCTTGGTCTATACCTGCACTTCCATTGAATCCACCAACCGCGTAAATCGATCCATTCAGACTGGCCACACCCAAAGTAGCACGCCGACATTCCATGTTTGGTCCTGAATGCCACGTATTGCTGAGCGGGTCATAGATTTCCACAGATCGAACACGCAACGCCCCGTTGAATCCGCCAATAACATAAACCAGACCAGTGCAAACTGCCACACCACAACGACACCTTCGACTAGGCAAATCCGTAAAACTTGGGTGGGTTGAACTGACAATTACAGGCAAACAAGAACTAGGGGAGGTTGTTCGTCGAGCTGGTGGTGAAGAGGATGGAGGTAGTACGCCCACAGAAGTCGACGAAGACGAATCAGGAGTTCCATTACTGTTTGCTGTCGACCCGGAAATGGCATCTGGACCGGATGAAGAACGCCACAAACCAGTGCGGAAATCAAAGTACTCCACCGAACGAATAGCTTTGGGAGCTTGGCCACCTATCACCATAAGGACCTAATAAGAGCCATTGAGAAAAAAAAATCGTCAAAATCATTACAAGTTAAGAAGAACTGTAAGGTGTTATTCTGATCCAAAATACCAAAAAACTAATAATACTCTACCTGAAAACTACATGACACGTTTTTTATCAGCCAACGGATAAGATCGGATTGCACTGAACCGCGAACCCCGATCATATACATCAACCGAATGTGCTATATTTCTCTGCAGGAAATAAATAGACGGAAGAGCTTTTGTTTATCGAGAAATAATGTGTACACAACAAAGACGTTCTCCAACAGACGATGGTTCAGGTTTGACCTGAAGAAGGATGCACATAATATATAACAACGATTTCAGACTAACAGTTTCATTCGGAATCGATAGAACGTTGGGGCGCAGTACAACAGCCGATAGCGTTTCAGATAAATTTTTAGGCTAGCTGTACTCAGGGCCTTTCTTATCAGAATTAACTTTGATCTTCTCAACACAACTATAAGCTCGGTTTACGTGTGCAGTGGCGTTAGAAGTTCGCGCGTAAAGTGCATTTGCCTTGCCCGAGACCGTATGCACTTTAAACAAAATGATTTTTGACATTCCAAATACAAGACGAACTAAACACGTGAAAACATGGTAGCAATTGACCCAGTAACACGGATAGCTAGAACTGGAGACAAGAAAGCCATGGAACGGTACAGTCCTACTTTTCAATTAGCAAAAAGAACAAGGGGATAAACGCAAATGGAGAGTAAATCGACAGGTTTAAATCCAGTGCATGCACGAACCCCACTTATTAAAACCCAAATGTGATCGAAGGCTAATATTCGAAGATCGTTACACGAAACGTCAAGTTAATCCTCATGAGTGTAATAATTTATGTCCAATCCTTATTGCAATGAGCGAGTAAAAACAACACTCATTCATTCATCGTGTCCAGCAGTCATTAGGCACCGAGAGTAGATGCCTTTTGCAAGAAACTCTGGTGTTCAGAGGGAAGGCACAAGTTGAGGGGAGTGAATTAGACAAAAAATGTGGTAATGTTCGTCTAAATGCTGGGAATTTGATAGCCTTGCGATTAACGCAAAGCTAGGGATCAGAGGTGAATGAAAAACTTCGTAACTGAGCAAACTGAGGGTAAATATAAATTCTAATGAAGATAGAACATACGCGTCTAAAGCGAGTAGTAGTTTTCCGGCAGTAACGTTGTGAATACCAGACGACGATGTGAAACATGTGTTGATGAAATGAACTTGAGAAACAGATCGATTATTGGGAAAGCGATAAAACAAAATTAAAAGTCGGGCACCGACGGTGATTGGGACAGCGCGTAGGGCGCAGATCACAATGAAAGCAGCTACCCGGTTGAAAATCCGGTATGCTCCTCGGATGACACATTTAGTACCTTCTAGCTTCTAAGATGAATGCATTATTTTCGAATCAGTTATTTGGATGCAAACCTCAAGAAAGAACACAGGTAAAGGCAATATATGAACGCTTCTTATTATCCATTGACAATTATAAGTGATCCTTCAAACACCCTAACCGGGAACTGGTGTTAGACACGGATACAAAAGACGCCTACAAGTATCAGACAAATTAATTAAATTGCTCGAGGCAAACTTCATGATACACATCTAGAAAGTATAGTGTATTCCCTCAGGCCAAATAGTTTCGGGAAGGAAGTCATGCGCCCTTTAACTGAACTGGTGAACTGGCGGAAGCAGCAAGCGATGAGCAGATCCGGTATATTGGACGTTTTGAAGACAACGGAAAGGATGAACCAGATAATCAATTTTAAACTGTTTCTCACCTTGGGAAGACCGACTGGAGTTCTCGGTTTCGCCCGTTCCGAAGTGACGCGTAGCTTTTCATCCCATGACAACAAGTGATAGCTTAGGGCCTCGATTAGATAGTCCTTGCACCATGGGTTTGCTGATAAGAACGCGTCGGACTGACTCAGTCGAACTAGATAATCTCGAGGAAGCAGGGAGAAACGCACGCGACCGCACAAGCTTCGAGCAGCCTCTTGGCGATTAGCCACATCATGAGCAATCCAACGTAAAACAGCTTCGAACACTTGATCCTCGGTGACAGCCAATCGGTCACTGGCAATCAATTGACCCAACTGTTCTGCGGTTAACGTGAGAAATTCATCGTCTTGTTCCAGTAATTCTCTGTGAATGAGAGGAAAAACGTTAAGGGTTGCAAAAGTTTCGTGAGCGCGAAGGGGGGGGGCAAGACAGGAAATTACCGCTTATTATAATAAAGAGTAGGTTATGTATGATACGATCTGATAGCATTATTACAAAAAACTGTGCGGGATGTAATAACATCGTCCAGACAGAATAAATTGATGGGAGTGGGGTGGCAGAATAATATGGTAAGAATTGGACATTGACACTATACCGGTTACACACAAAGGCGCAATATAATGTGAACATGAATATTCAGATCGTATGGGTTAGAAATCTGCATCTATCGTGGGATGTGCATATAGCATATAAAATAAAGCAATATATAAGCCAGGGAAACGGACAGAAAAGGTGTTCATCTAAATTAATCGGTACACAAGGGAA